TTTAATCTCAATTTAAATTTTTTTCGAAATTTAATACCATTTAAATTAAAATTTTAAATATTAAAACTATTGATTTAATAATTATCTTGAATTAAACTATTAATTTAAATTATTAAATCATAAGGGATTATTTAAATCATGAAGGATAATTACCAATTAAACAATTAATTTATCCTAATCCTTTTAATCCCTCTAAATTTCGAAAATCATGGGATAGGATAATTCAAAATCTTTAATTACCATATTTAACCATTAAAGGATAATTGTAAGATATGGGATTATGCAAATTCCTAAAATTTAGGATCTTATCTTGGGGAAGAGGCTAATCTCGAAAATCCTAGGGTTTGCAAACACTAGATTTCGAAATCTTGGCACTTAAGGAAAGGATTTGAAAAACCTTTTCAAATTTTCGCGAATTAGGGTTTAGGAACCCTAATCTCGAAAATCTTGCCTCCTAGGGTTTATTGGCAATAAACCCTAATATGTCAAGTTCATACAATTGTATAATACTAATAGAAAACAAGTTAACCAAAGGCTCTGATACCACTGATGGGTTTAGAACAAACACTCCTATGTGTGCATGCAACCCTAGATTTGGATCTATGTTTTCTCTAATAGATACACAACATTATGAACACATGAAGAACCCTAGCATGCTCCTAGTATTTTCGAAATTCATGTAGAAAAATAGATCACATACCTCTTGTTGTTATATTGTAATAACAACACAAATCTTCAAACCCTAAGTCTTGAAAGCAAGTACCACAAGTGTAGTACCTCTAATGGCTCACAAACACCACAAACAATTGGAGAGTCAATAGAGAGAGAAGATGAGAGGTAGAAATCGGCTCTAGGAACCCTGGGGATTAAGTGGGGACGATTTCTATGGCCTTAGGGGTCTTTATATAGGGTAGAGATTAGAGTTTCAGTCCTTATCCTTATCTAGTTGTTTGTCCACCAAGTAACCATAAGATAAGCCTTAATAACCCTTATCCTTGGATGATTTCAAGGATGCCTTATCCCTTGAATTCGTCCAACCTATATTTAGGGTAACCATTGCCCTACTTTGCAACTATCACATAATCATAATTCAGCCCCTCTAGTTTAATTAATTACACTTGATCACAAAATTAATTCCTAATTAATTATTGACCAATATTAATTAAACAAGTATGATTTCTCTTTTAATATATTATTCTTATAATATATTAATAAACCATAATAACCTCTTTCTCTATTTATTTCTCCAGTCAAGTTGTTTTGGTGAAGGCAACCCAAAATGACCATGCACAACCGGGTCAAGTACTTACCAAATATGGTTACGGGCTTAGACACTAATATAACAGAAGGTAAAGTGTAGTTAGTGGTTGTTCGAATCTTTAATTAAGGAGGGGTATGTCATTTGTGATATTGGTCGGATGTAGAGACCGATGATATTAGTCAGAGCTGGCGACCAGTGGGTTGGTGTGGAATAGTGCTATTGTTTGTGGCCAGTGACGGATTAATTGTTCAAGGTTGAAGATCATTGAAACGGTGAATGAGAAGAACTGAGAGGATGGGTCCTATCTTATGAATTAACATGATTTTTAATAAAAAAAATGACAAATAAATAATAAACACATTAAAAAAGAAATAAAAGAGGGTAAATTAGTCATTTTATGCCATTGAAAGATCAATCATGCAACATCAATACATCTTAGGGACCACCTGAGTTAAAAAAAAAATTATGGACCAAACGTGCATATTACCCTAAACCGAATGGACCATTCGCGTAATTTTACTCTAAAATTTATATGTTTAACGAATCCTTATTCTAATAAAAGAATAGTTTTTAATCTCCTTTTGACATGTGTCATCATATTAGACCTCCTAATTAATACACATTTTGTTCTTTTTTTTACCATGTGTCACCCTATTAAACCTCTTAATTAATGCATGCCACTTGTCAACCTATTAATTCTCTATTTCAAATTTTAAAATTTCCACTTTAATTACAATAAATTAATAACAATGCAATAAAAATTAAAATAAAATTAATACAAATTATATAATGATATAATTTCACATATTTATTTAAATTAACGATTATAATTGATTAATAATTTTCTGTTCTAACTATTAAAATTTAATTAATTTTATAGCCGTTATTTCACGGGTTATAAACTACTTAAAAATAAATATTAATATACAATAAGATGAAAACTATCAAAAACTATTTCTTTAAATTAATAAGTAATTTTAAATCTTTTCTATCCAAACATTTTAAAATGTTTACCTAAGGAGTTTTTAACCAAAATAAGGTTATTGAAAAAAATATTTACCAATCTAAGTGTACTTTAAAAAATATTTACCAAAATTGTGTTTTTCTTCATTTTAATTATTTTTCAATATTTCATTTTGTTTTTCTATTTATTTAAAATATCGGCTTTATTACTTTTTTTTTTTTTTTTTTTTTTTTTTTTTTTTTTAATTTATATTTTATGTTTTTTACTATATATATTTCTTTAAATATCAATTTATTTATTTATTTATTTTTTTGTTTCAGTTTTTTTTTAATATACATTTAACATTATCTCTTATTTCAAGATCTCGATTATATCTTTTTTAGTTTTTAAAATAATCACCATTAGAATAAAATAATATACTTACTATTTTTCTTTATATATTTCCATACAAAAATTAACCTTTTTGAACTACATCCTGTATTTAATATTTGAAGGCAGGGGCGGAACACAGATAGTATAAGGAAGGGGGCCGAAACACCAGATGTGGTAAATCATAAAAATAAATGTATGACTTAATGGTACTAAAAGTTAAATATAAAAAATATGTACCATAAAGCAATTATATTTAATTGTACTTAATTTGTGTGTTTCAAAATTGATATATATATATATATATATATATATATATATATATATATATATATATATATATATATATATATATATATATATATATATATATATATTTCTTGAAAACTAAATAAAACAAAAGACAATTCTTGACTAAAATCAGAAACACCAACATAAACAAAAAACAACCTAATGTGGTAGATGGGAAGAAACTCAAGGCACAACCTCCAATAAGTAATTAAAATCATCGAACAAAGTTAAAGAAATATAAATATTACTTGTGTGAGTCTTAAAAGCAAAAGCAAAAGAAACTAACCCCCAAATCAAGATGCCCTAAATGAAGACGGAAAGTGCGTAGCTATGACCAGTGGTTGTGGATGAGGCACGACGACGACTAAGGTGAGAGCCGGCGGTATCGATGTTCTCCGATGAAGGGCGGTGCTTCATCAGATATATCACTCAGTATTAATTTTTCATTTTGTGAAGTTGTTTACATCGTTTGATATTTTAATGGTTCTTTTTTCTATTGTCTGCAACCTCTTTCTCTTCTATTTTAAATCCTATTTTATCTCATTGATTCTAACATATCATTATATCACATAAGGTTATTTATTTCTTTAATTTTCTCACTTTTATTATGAGGGTGAATACATATATCTAATCTTAAATAACATATTATTCTTAACATGTATTTAGTCTCTTAATCCCCGTTGATTACATTGCTTTAAAAATTTTGTTGCCTATTTCCAAAATCAATGGAGGGGCCGATAGCAGTTTTATTCTCAAATAATTTGTCATCTTAATTTTTTTTTGTAATAATTGTCTAAAAACCACGGGGGCTATGACCCCTCCTGGCCCCTAAAGGCATCCGCCACTGTTTGAAGGCATAACGATTCAAACAGTTTAATAAAAAATAATGTTCTAGAAAGCAATGTAAGGGAAAAGACTTTTGGATTATTCGACTTCCAATCGTCAAAAGTGTTGTGGAAAGAAAAAGTAAACTGATAATTAAAAAAAAGTAAAAAATCGAAGAAAAAAACCTGATATTTAAAAGAAATATATAGTAAAAAAGTAAAAAATCGATATTTTAAATAATGCATGTTATGAATAAGACTTGTATGTATAGTAAAAAAATCGATATTTAAAAAAATAAACTAATATTCAATATATATATATATATATATATATATATATATATATATATATATATATATATATATATATATATATATATATATATATATATATATATATATATATATATAGTAAATAAACCGAAATAAAAAAAAGTAAAAAAGCTGATATTTTAAATAAATAGAAAAACAATAAGAAATATTGAAAAAAAAATGAAGAAAAGTATTATTTTGGTATTTTTCAAAGTACATTAGATTGGTAAATATTTTTTTCAATAATCTTTTTTGGATAAAAATTCAATTAATAAGTCGCTTAAATAAGCAATTCCAAACGTGCTAAATATTTTATGTAGATGGATAATTCTATTAGATAAATTTCATTATATTATGGTAAATTATAATCGAATGATATTTAATTTTTATGAAGAAATTAGAGTAAATTACATGAATGGTCCTTATGGTTTAGGCTAATTTGTGTGTTTAGTTCCTAACTTATTTTTTTAACTCGGAAGGTCCTTACATTTTGTTTTTGTTAGGCGCTTGGTCCCTGTCTTACCTAAAAAGACTATTTTACCCTTGATTTTTTAATTTATTTAAATAAACACACTCCCACCTCCACCCCCCTCACCTTACCTTACATACCCCACAATTTTTCCCCATTTAAATAATTGTTTTTTTAGGTAAGATAGGGACCAAGCGCGTAATAAAAACAAACAGTAGGGACCAAGTGCGTAATAAAAACAAACAATAAGAACTTTCCGAGTTAAAAAAATAAGTTAGGGACCAAACTCGTAAATTACCCCAAACCATAGGGACTATTTGTGTAATTTACTCAAGAAATTATAGAGTGCTTAAAATCTAACCAATTATTTGAGAAAAAAAAAATATGGATTAAAAAAAAAGACCAGTGGGCCTAGAATAACCCAACTCAGTACCCTAATCGCGAACCATGAATATAAAGTCCATCACGTGCTCTAATCTTCATCAGCGTCGCCGCCGAGAGAGAGAGAAAATGCAGATCTTCGTGAAAACCCTAACCGGGAAAACCATCACCCTTGAGGTTGAGAGCAGTGACACTATTGACAATGTAAAGGCAAAGATTCAGGACAAGGAAGGTATGGTGCTTGCCGATATATTTAATTTGAACTTGAGGATTGAGATCCTCTATAAACAAAGCGCGGTTGAATGATTTTGTATCGTAGGTATTCCACCGGATCAGCAGAGGTTGATCTTTGCCGGAAAGCAACTTGAAGATGGCCGAACTCTTGCTGATTACAACATCCAGAAAGGTTTTACTCTTTTATGTTCATTGAAGTTAACACTCTATGTCGATTTGATGAATTAGGCCTTACTTGATAACGTATAACAGAATGACTGTTTAGAAACATGGTATTTGTTCCTCTTAGTTAAATCCTATTAAAAATAACACTGTGGTATTGCATTTATCGGAATTACAGTTACAGTTATTGCTTGAAATCATTTTGCCAACTACCAAAATTCTCTATATTTTAATGTAATTGTTCAAATTTAGCCGATGATGAGTTCATTTGATACCAGTAATAGATCATTTTTGTTGATATTGATTTCCTTGAGCTTAGGTGTTAAAATTGGATGCTCACTAACTCATTAGTTTCATCGCCAAGAGTTGCCTATCGAATTCTCATAGTATTTTCATTGCTAGCATTGTTTATATAGACAATACTAGAATTGCATAAGCGCTATTACAAAATCATTAAATAATACCACATTTAAAATGCAATCTTGAAATTCTTGTACAGAGTCTACTCTTCATTTGGTGTTGAGGCTAAGAGGAGGTATCATTGAGCCCTCTTTGATGGCATTGGCTAGGAAATACAATCAAGACAAAACTATTTGTCGCAAGTGAGTTGTTCTTCTTTTCATTGTTCTTAAGAAATCTATAACCATTTTACATGGTGTTATAAAAATTACTGATCACAATGTATGGGCTTAATGGTTTCCTGTTAGGTGTTATGCTCGCCTGCACCCAAGGGCTGTGAACTGCAGGAAGAAGAAGTGTGGCCACAGCAACCAGGTATTAATTAAGAATCCCTTAAAAAAATTTCTTTTGTTAAAATGCTTTAATGTGATGCATTTTATGGATGTTGATTGGACAATGTATATTCTCTCTCTTTTTTTTTGGTGTGGTTGCAGCTAAGGCCAAAGAAGAAGATTAAGTAGACTTTTGTATGTGTTGGAAGAAGAACATTTTGGTTAATTCTAGTAGGATGCCTTTAACTTTCATTAAGCGTTGTAAACAATATAAAGTAAACATGATGGGTTGTTTTTCGAATTCAAAGAAGCAGTTTGAAATTTATGTCCTTCACTTTTTTAATATTCTTTAAGCTTGAGAGTGTTCATCCTCTGGTTGTTAGTCCCATTTTTGCTTGTACTGTACAAGTAGTTGAAGCAGGGATTGAGAAAAGCATCAAGGGTGCTTCAAACATGTTTTTTAAATTTATTTTGTTAACCGGCGTTGTAATGATAGTCTGGATTTCTGGATAATTTTAATGTTTATATCAAGATCTATCAAGTAAGAAATAACTAGATAGGATCATATCACTGATAGAGTTTGTTTGGTATACAAACTATATTATTTGGAAATCCTACTTTAAACACTTTTTTAAGTCCAAATCCAATATAGACATCACTTCCATGTGTAAATCAATTAGTATAATGATTTGGAATTATCGACAAACCATTTTCATAATAATGAATATTACTATAATTAAAAGTTACATTTCAAATAATATAAGTGTAACTTAACTTACATAGTAATCTAGTGAGAACCGGGGATTACTTGGGCATAAGTCTGACCCGAGAGCTTCAATTTTCTGGCTATTTGACACTGCAGGGTCTTGCTAAAGTAACTGGGAACTAGGGATTAAAGGGGGCTAAGGGTTTTGAGAAATTTCTAGATCGATTTCAAGGGAAAGTGTGTAGAAAACGAATTAAAGTCGAAACTATATATAAGGGTGAAAAGTGGCCGTGAACCATGCGTTTCATCTGAGCGTACAACGCATGTGGTCGTCCGGGCGACATGGCCGCTTTTGTATGGTGACACGTGTCACGATTAGGGTGGTGTGTCAGAGTGAGTTGCGCCTTTGGTTCATGCGTGTAGCTACTAGTGGAAATTTCTAATTTCTTAAAAAAAATCATATTTTCTCCGACCGAGCTCCATTTTTGACGGTTTTTATATCCTCGTGTAGCTATCGACGGTATCTACATCTTTTGTTTAAAATCAAAATTTTTCCCATACGATATCCGTTCTCGGTTGTCTTTATATCGACGGATAGATATTGAAGAGATCTTCAACTCTCCTTTAAATTGTTTTTTCTAACAAATGACCGATTTCAATTACGGTTTCCGAACCGTAAACTGCTATGTCGAAACTTCGAAAAATTATAACTTCCTCTCATAAAATCAGATTTAGGTGTTCTACATATATGCAAAATATTTTTTGTATTACTACAACTTGGTGGCACGTGTCACGATTAGGGTGGTGTGTCAGAGCAAGTTACGCCTTTGGTCGGTGTGCGTAGCTGCTCGTGGAAATTTCTAATTTTTAAAAAAAAACATATATTCGCCATACGAGCTCCATTTTTGATGGTCTTTATATCCACATGTAGCTGTCGACGGTATCTACATCTTTTATTTAGACGTCGTCGGCTAATTTTAACTTTATTTTTAAAGCTATATTTTTAATAGGCTTAGACTCTTAAAGTCCGTATAAAATCATAACTTTCACCATACGATATCCGTTCTCGGCTGTTTTTATATCGACGGATAGGTATTAAAAAGATCTTTAACTCTCGTGTAGGTTGTTTTTCCTAAAACTCGACCGATTTCAATTTCGGTTTTCAAGCCATATATCGTTACGCCGAAACTTTAGAAAATCATAACTTCCTCTCATAAAGTCAGATTTAGGTGTTCTACACAATCTCTCTTTTTTGATTACTACAACTTCTATTTAGATTATTTATCCAAAATACTCTTTTATTTTTAATTAATATTTTATTTTCCATATTTACTATGTTTCGACGTAGGGTTTCTATACAAATATCACATATTCCTAAATCACATAAACACAAACACACACACTAGTGTAATTCACTCTTTAAATATCTTTGTTATCGAAATATTTATATGCTTTCAACATCACTCCACAATGACAACACGTCGTTACAACTGGAACCTACAATGAGTCAATGACTAACATAATTACTTTTAGGGGAAAATGTCACTGTAGCCCTACTAACTTACAAGTTTTGGTTTAAAAGATCCCTTATTTTATTTTTTGGCTTTAGAATGGCATAAACTAACATTTAACCGGCTAAAATTTGGAATTTTGACCCAATTCAACCAGTTTGCTTTCCATGTCATCATCCAAGTAAGCTACTGAGTCAACTCAGACGAGTCGGTTTACACGTCATCGACTCACAACCGAGTTCACTTACTTGGGCACTAAGGGTTAGGTGGTCTCATACTATATAAATGGATGGTCTCTTGGACAAAACCCTAAGACTTTGTTACCATTTCCGGCCAAACACAACCCGACAAACGAAAATAGAATACTTGTGTTCCCTTTCACTGTCTTCCATGGAGCCTATAAACTCCAACAACTCGATTAGCTCAAGAGACGGGCTATACTTGAACGATTTGCACACGATTTTCTGCGACTGTGGTGATAAAATAGCCGAGCAAAAAGGTGAGGTGGAGCGCATGAAGGAGGAGATGGTTCGCGATTACCTTCATTCCAGGGTTGATGTCCTGAACATGCAGCAAAGGTTCGAGAAGGTTGAGAAGCAGATTAAAGCTATTGCGTTGTTGGTTGTGGGTCTTGTCGTGGTGATGCTCCTTCTAATGATTTTCATCATCCACTTGATAGTCAGCAAGTGATTCTCAAGGAGGTGAATAGTAGTGGTATGATAATCTAGTGTTCTTCGTAATCGTCTATTATGTTTAAGGTTTTTATTGTAATATATGTTATTAGGATTGTGTGTATTCATTTGTGTTTGTGGTAATCGTGTATGATGTTTGTGGTAATCTAGTGGTGGTTGTTTACGGATGTTTTTTGAAGTCCTGGGAACATGTAACAAACATTTTGATATTATCTTGATGAAATGTAAAGACCTTGAATGCGTTTTGATTTGTTGGGATCAATGTTCTTGATTAAGACTAACGATTTGGACACTTGGTTGGCTTAATTAATGAAATTTAATTGTTGTTGGTACACCAACTGTGATAGATGTTAATGAGGTCAAACATTGGGGTAATTTCGTCAAGGGGTATTTTTGGAATTTACAATTTTTAAGAACTTACTTCCTTACTTGGCTGGGGTATTTTCGTCATTTGCTCTTTATAAGTACTTTACCTCCTTTACTCGGCTGTACATCCCATTTCTTTGTACATGTTCTTGTTTGCATTTTGAAGTATCTCGGAAATAACGAAGCAAAAATGGTGAAATGCTCATGTGGATGTTTGGCCATAAACAGAATGTCTTCCACTCAATCAAACCCGGGAAGACCATTCTATGCTTGCCCCACTAAGGTTTGTTTGACTTTATTTATCAGGTCACTGTAGCCCTAATTTTTTTTTTTTTTTTATCTTTGCATTCTACACTTCTAACTTCTAAATTGATTTTGTTAGGGACCTCGTAATTGTTTTATTTGTTGGGTAGAAGAAGCAAACACTAAGAATATGAGTGCTGAAGTAGTTATGATTGCAGGATTGGCTAGGTCAAAAAAGAAGCTTGAATCAAAGATTTGGAAACTGAAGATGTCTTTAGTTCTAAGTTGGATTATTTTCTTTGGCATAATTGTGTACAAGTTGTAATTCGTATGTAGCAGTTTTTTATGTCATTGTCAGGGAAATTGTTATGGTTATTTACATTATCCTTGTAATGACTTTCAATCACTAATGTCAATAATAGACACTAATGCCATGTTCACCTAGAATAAATGGGACCATATATATCCAACACTAATGTAAATAATGGACCCCAATACCATGCACGTCCATAAACACAACACACCATCATAAGGACATTGAAACCTTTTGTATACATAACACCACAGTGAGTTCATAACATAGTAATTTATATTAGATTAAAATTAAACAAAAATAGTACATAACTTAAAATCTATAAACACTTAATCCAACATTGTTTAGCATAACCAAAGTGACTACATAACACCACAATGAGTACATAACATAAAATTGAAACACTTAATCCAACATTGTTTAGCATGACCAAAGTGAGTACAAAACATATAATTAAAACACTTAACCCGAAATCAGTTGTCATAAACACATTGACCACATAACGACATTGACCACACTTAACCTATTCTAGTTCCATTGGCTTGTCAATAGTGTGGCCTTCCCCATTTTTACCCTCAACCCGTGTACCAAGTTTTTTCTTCAAAATTCTTTTCGACTTCTTTCTTGTCTTGACGATTACCTTTTTACCCCTCCCTCCTATATCATCTTTACCATCCTTTGTCTTCCTACCATTGCTTCTTTCCTCAACATTACCATTACTTCCCTTTTTACCCTCCCCCTTTATCATCTATAACATCATTTTCCTTCTTACCACCGCTTCCTTCCCTAACTTTTCCATTATTGCCCTTATTACCCCTCCCCCCTTTATCATCTATAACATCATTTGCCTTCTTACCACTGCTTCCTTCCCCAAATTTTCCATTAATGCCCTTATTACCCCTCCCTCCTTCCTCATCTGTCATACCTTTTGCCTTCTTAGCACTGCTTCCCTCCTTATCAATAACATCTGATCTCTTCCTTTTCCTTACCTTTAGTTTTGTTGGCTTTTCCGATTTAGAACATGTAACCTTGTTATGTCCTGCTTGTTTGCATACACTACACATAATCTTTTTCCCAACCTTTGACACAATATGTATAGCACCCCTCTCACTTGAATCCTTTCTTCTATTAACTTTAGGTCTACCTGGCATTTTTCTTTTCAATGGTGGCAAGGGTGGAATGAATTCAGTAGGTGGCCACATGTTGCTACCATTCATCCCACGCATAGGATACTTGTAGGTGTTCTTATAAATTGCTCCATAGTACATTGGATCCACATAATTACCAACATCATTGTTAAGGTATGAGATGGTTGCAACTAAATGCACACATCCATACTCATTTAGTTGCCACACTCTACATGAACAAGTCTTCTTATATACATCCACAACGTAAGACTCTGCCAAATTCCTTGTTTCAAACTGGTTTAAACCAGTAGGTAAAACCTGTCAATACCTGATGCAATGGTATAAAAGTTAGCGTGTATAGTGGAAAAACTAAATAAAGTATTAATAGAAAAGAAAAAACCTTTGAGCTCTTTTCAACTGATTCAATAGGATTGTAATGGCTGGGCATGGTTTATAATTAGGCCATGAACAACCTTTGATGGTAAGATTGAATTGCCTCTCCATAACATACAACCTAATTTCTTCTAACATTGTGATTATTGGTTTTTTCCTTGCATCTCTAATGAAATTGTTGAAGCTTTCAGATAATCCATCTTCAACTACATCACACATCCGCCCCTCTCTAAAGAAAGCTCTACACCATGATTTTGGGTTCTTTTCCATAAGATAGTCAAATGCTGTAGGATTTAGTACTTGTATTTCCTTCATTGTTGCATTGAATAAAGGTTCAGTTGATGCTTTGCAAGCTTTCCAAAACATCCTCTCATAATGCACACAACTGAACCTTTTCCTAAAGTTGACAACAATATGCTTTGCACACTGTCTGTGTTCAACATTAGGCATTATTTCCTTCACAGCCTCCAATAGCCCCTATACAATTTAAATTCATATGTTAAGAAAATGGAAATTTATTAACAAGAAATATGAAGTATAATAAGTGATTTACCTTATGTTGATCTGACATCAGGGTGATACCACTACCATCATCAACTTCTAGATCATCTTGAAGATTCTCCAGAAACCATTTCCAATTTTCTTTATTTTCCACACACACAACTGCCCATGCTATTGGGAAAATATGATTATTAGCATCTCTTCCTACGACACATATCAATTCTCCACTACATAATCCCATTAAGAAACAACCATCCAGGTTGATTACTCTTCTACAACTTCCTTTCCAACCTTGTTTCAGCCCCTCAAAGCATATGTAAAACTTACTAAAATATGTCTTCCTATCAGGCATACTGTTGACATCCAATTTGATAGTTGATCATGGATTGGATCTTCTTATCTTTTCACCATATGACCAAAGCTTGGCAAAATGCTCAACCAGTTTACCTTTAATAAGTTCAATTGCATATTTCTTTGCTCTTCTACACTGTCCCATACTCACATCAATTCCAAAATTTTCTTTTACTTCTTCCTTTAGTAGCCTAAAACTCATTTTTTTGTTTTTGTAAAAATTTGGATGTGAAATGGCTACCAATCCATGCATAGCTTACAATTAACCAAATTTTAAAATTTCTAGCACAATTATGGTTATCTATAAGAGACTTAATGTGAAAAGATTTTTCCTCACTCATCCATGAAACCCACAATCTAAACTTGCTTTGCCCTGAACAACATTTAACTAATAGCCTCCTACTATAATTTTTTTTGTAGCACAATTGATATCTTTAGTGACAACATAATTACACAACATATGTTTTAATTGTTTAGGATTTTCAAATCTCATTCCTAACACAGGTTTTTGTTTTTTCCAAAGAACATTTTCATTAAAAGCTGTTACCTCCTCATGAATTGGGTCGTGTTCATCCATCTGATCAACTGGATCTTCATGAGATGGATCCTCTTGAGGTGGAGTGTCTGGAGTTGGCTGCTCCTTGGGGTAGAGCTTGTTCAAAAATACATCATTCAAGGTCTTGTTCATGAGGATGCAATCTCCATCTTCAGTGTTATCGTTCAAATCACCTAGCACTTGTACTTCATCTAGGTCAATGCCTCCTTCTGTCTCAACATGCAACTCTTCTACTACTTCACCTACACCAGAAAACTTGTCCTCGGGGGTGCATACTTCAGCCATCTCATCAACAATCCATTGATGAACATGAACACCAACATGATCCATGTGCAAAGAAATTACACAACCAGAATCATACCCTACTTCGATAAACTCCTGGTAGTCTTTCTCAGTTGCTATTATCCTCAGCCCTTCAGGGAACTCAATATCAGGCATGCAAAAGTACACATCAACACATGTCTCGTTTGCGAATCTCTGAATGAACACTAGAAATTCGTTTTTGAGCAAAATCAACATCCTCAAACCTTTGCTCCACTCCATCTGAGTAACTGATCACTGGATACCTCGTAAACAAACCATCAAAATGAAGATCTATCTTCAGGTAGATGGCCATAGAAAAAATCCAGATTTGATTTTCGGATGAACAGTAGAAGAAAAAGGAGATATTGGTAGATGAAACCCGATTAAAGACGAAAATTACTTGGAGAGGAAGGATTGGTGTCATTTATCGATACACTAACACGTGACATATGATTTAGTTTAATGATTCTTTTAATGACATGTCCAAGAAATAATGCTGATTGGGATTGGGGTCACCGGATGACCCCTTCACTTTATAAAAAATGGCCTAATTATCCGGTTAAATGTTAGTTTATACTCTTCTAAAACCAAAAAATAAAATAAAGGATCTTTTAAACCAAAACTTGTAAGTTAGTGGGGCTACATTGACATTTTTCCTTACTTCTAGAGAGAACATATATTTTCCTTGCAGTGGAGTCATATTTCAAATTTTACCGATTATCTTATAACATGTCGAATCGTTGATATGTTAGCATCAACCAAACAAAATCAAGGGAATAACATCTCATAAAGAAAATTAACTAAACACAAATAAAATAGAATTAAGTTCCTTAAGAATTAACAAGCGAAACTAACCACAAATAAAGTTGCAACATAAATTAATTACTCTCCTAACTAAACTCTCTAATCTAATTCATGAATTTAGGACTCTTCATAGACCAAGCATCCACACTCTTGACAGTGACGGTTTCCGTACCGTTATTAAATAAAAACAAATGTGCATCTTTGGCCACTGCTATTGTCGGATAAACCCTCGATGTGATGACAGTTTTTCCACCCTCACCAAAGCTTTCAACAACTGAGTGATCGATCAAGCTTCTAATTGAAAGCTTCTTTGCACTTAAATCAACATCCACAAAGCCTGCAAATGATGGCTTGTACTCATTCTTGTTTAAGGAGGAACTGTGAACATCATAAATAACATAAAAGTCAATATTAAGAAAATGAGAGAGAGAGAGAGAGAGAGAGAGAGAGAGAGAGAGAGAGGAGAGAGAGAGAGAGAGAGAGAGAGAGAGGATTACGGTGTAGCATCAGAACACATGAGAACTTTATATGTGTTATCAAGAGTCTTGAAAACCCTAAAAAATACAGGAGTATATTCTTCAAGCTTGTTTGAAGCCAACGTTAAAAGCCCAAAAGGCCCTAACCCTCCTTGTTTAGTACCCGTGATCCCACATATCTCCAAAGCAAGATTTTCCGAGGGTAATTTCGACCATTCCGGATCAAAAGTCTCAGCTTCATCCAAGCTTGAAAACGAAAACATCACGTCCACATCCGCCTGTATCAAATCATATCAAAACTCATAAATGATTCATATCTAGCAACTGTTGATATAATCATATAAACGTACTACAGCTAATGCATAAAGTACAAACCTGAGCAGGAGTAATTCCTTTGACTTCAACAACGTCACCCTTGTTAAGCTTCACATCACTTAAGTGCACGTTGTCACCTCGAAGTGTTTCCAATTCATGAATTGGCCATTGTAGCAATTGCTTTCCTCTAGGGTCCAGCCATACCATACGTGGAATCAACTACACAATATAAATTCCAACGTCTTAAGTTTATTTTAATATTAATAATAATACAAGATTAACATTCTATTATCTATATATTCAAGTCATAAATATGAGCAATTTTATTACCTGAATTCCTGCCCACCCCTTTGCAACATCTTCGTAACTCGTACTCGACTCATTAGCCCAACCCCACAAAATCCTCCGGTTTTGAACCGGGTCAAAGAATGTCTTTGATGCATAAAAATTACCATAATCATATCTTAACCCGGCCCAACCATCAATAGAAGTGTTATCCGGGTAATATTTATCCTTAATCTTGTCATATGTACCAATCGTGTAATACTCAAACCTAGTCATGTCAAGGCTAACCTTAAACACATGTTTAACACCAGCCTTCAACACTGAGGTATCCAACCCGGCTTGACCATATGATGATACCGGGAAAAAATCCGGACACTCCCACATACCCGTACCCGGTTTGTCATGGAGCGTGTGTTTTGCCTTGGTCCACTTAACAAAATCCCGACTCCTATACAAATAAGCAATCCCTCGATGCTTGTGTTTGCTACCTACAATCATTTTCCAATGACCATTGTTGAACCAAGCAGTTGTAGGGTCACGAAAAGATGAGACGTTTTCATAAGTGGGTTTTACTATCGGATTATCATCTGGTTTGATCCAGTCACGGAGAAACGGGTCTGAATAGTTTGCAGGAATGGCGTAGTTTTGGACTTGATAACCTGGTGCTGGCTTTTTATCGATAATTCCTGTGTACAAAATCACGGGTTTGTTTCCGGGTAGGATTGTGGCCGATCCGGACCAACATCCGTATTTGTCAAAAGGTTTCGATGGTACGATTGCTGGATCGAGTGGGATCCAGTTGATCATGTCTTTTGATACGGAGTGGGCCCATACGATGTTGCCCCATACAGCGCCTTTCGGGTTATATTGGTAGAAAAGATGATAGTATCCCTTGTAATACATGGGTGCTGAGAAAGGATACAAAATTAAGTATCAATTTATGTTATTATATCAAAAGAATACATGTTTTTAGTTTCTAATATATAGGTTACTTTTGATAAAGAATATTAAGAACTTAAACTCACCATTTGGGTCTACGTTGGTTTATTTGTGTCCATCGCATCATGCATGAGAAGGAAAAAACACAATCAGTGATAAGAATATTTGACATAGATATAGTAACCTAATTTTTAATAAAAACAAAAACTTAGCTGCAAATCGTAACAAAAGAATAGACATCTTCTAGTTTATTTAACTTAATTTTCAAAATTAAGTGATGTAATGTTGATGTAAGGGGAAATTAGGTAATTAATTGCCAATATGAAAAGAGCTCATGTATTTTGATAACTTCACGTGTTGAAATAGGACATGGTGACCATCACTACAATTTTCCACAAAGTCATGAGGCATATCATACTATAAAAAGTGCTCTTAGCATCTCAGATTCTAACCCATATTTCATAATTTTCCATAGGATCATTTTATTGACCTTTCAAACTAATATATCAAGAATAATTATATTGAGCTTTTGTTTGAGATGGAGCCCAAGTTGATGTCTAAAATTAGTGAAAGTAGGTAAGTTTAGACTTATATAGAAATTATTGAATACAAAGCAATGTATATTTTCAATCGTAAAAGCTATAAAATAGTTGTGATACAAATACATTCACTCACAACCAACTTAACCCACTATCACATCAATTTCTGTCTCTTTTTTTTTCTTCATCTTTCCGAACCTACAACACTGAAATCCTATCTTTCTCAACCCATTCAATTAAAAAAAAAATACAAAACAACTAATATACAAGTTTTAAAACACAAAAAAATAAAGTTTTCGTATGTTGTGGGTTGAAAAAAAACAAAAAAAAAATAAAAAAGAAAAACTAATGTGACATTGGGTTGGGAGAGAAAAGACTCCCACGAAATCACATAATATTAACTATGATTATTTAGTTACAAGATTCTTTTATATATATATATATATATATATATATATATATATATATATATATATATATATATATATATATATATATATATATATATATATATATCAGCTCTGAAGTTTTGAAGCACATGCACTAGCGTGTTTGCATGGGTCAAAAATTGACTTGTATTTTTTATAATAGAAGCATGATTACACGATTAATAATAAATTAACATTAACAATTAATAATTAATATTAATAATAGTTAATAATACAATTGTTCATATATATGGTATTACTTGTCATTTAATCTCGATCCATAATTATATTAATGGTAAGAGGTGAATAGTATTAGCTAGACAAGTCTTGAATTCAAACATTGGAAATTAACACCTTTATATATATGGACATTTTTATTTACCTCTGATTGGTAGGGGACACCGACGGGATATATAGTATATATTTTTAAAATTGCAGTTCAATTTATTTCTTAAAAAACTTTTCCATAATACTTATTTATTATTTATTATTTTTATATTAAATTAAATATAACGATAAATTTCGCAAATGGTTGGCGCCCGCAAAACTTAATTTCTTCCAATACCTACATACACTTAATTAAGAGATACCATTTGACTATATATTATCCCAGGGTAACATTCGACAATAAAACACTGCAAAAATAAGCAGACTGGCAACCAATTGATCCCATCTGTTTGGAAAGTCTGATTTATATTTAAAAAAATATAAACAATTGTGAACAATTCTGTCAATAAGTAGTTATTATTATTACTTTTTTACTTTGCGTTGTATAAGAAAAATAATAAAAGATGAAAAAGAAGAAGATGTACCGTTAATCCAGTTTTGCTTAGGTTGAAAGTGGTATCCAGTTCTGTAAATTTGTTTGACGTTGATCGCATTCAAAGTTTGGTAATTCATATAAACCTTGTGGAAAGCCATAACTCCTCCTCCATTGATATGATCATTGAACAATGGAAATAAACACACTGTAAATGCAAATAGCAAAATCAATCTATTCAAAATCCTCGCCATCATATTTAAAGAAAACACACACCAAAACGTGTGTATTTTTGAGAGAGAGAGAGAGAGAGAGAGAGATATGAGAGTGAAGGTAGTTCAAGGGGTATTTATAGAGAGAGGTTGGCAAACCACGTTAGGATAAGGTTAAATATATATAAATCGGATATTTTATAATATTTCCGCCGGGAATCATTAACGAGGCCGTTTCTCATTTTTAAATCTAAAATATAATTTTGAAATGATTTTAGATTTACATCGATCCTACAATTAATTAATGCAGTATATGTATGATTAACGTAAATATATAAAGCCATTTTCAATTATGGATCCAAATCATAAATTTATGTATTAAAGTAATACCATAATATCCGTTATAAGGGTAAAATACCTTTGATTTTGAAGGGATGTAAATCATGTAATACAATGCTGCCCTTTAATTCCTTTGACTTATCTATACGAATCCCCTAAAGACTTTTCAAGATACAAAATTTAAAATCAACTTTTCTAAAACCACAATAATAAATATAATTAAGTGATATGTGGGGAGAGTCTATAAATTAATCTTGACCGTTCAAACTATTATTAGGTTTACAGTACTGTAATTCTTTATCATAAAATCGGAATATAAATATAAATGGTCAAAGTATTTAAATTTTGAAATTTCAAAACGATAACCTAAATTTTAAATTTAGATGATAAAAGAAATTTTGAGGTAAAGTCCTAAGAAATTTGTATTTTTAGAATAAAATATCAAATATGAAAGAGCTTAACAGATTTTGGGCTACTTGCTGAAAATTAAGTGAAAATTGGTGAAAAAAAGTCATTATATTTTCTAAAATCATTTGGATTGTTTTTTTTTTTTTTTTAATCGGTTACTTTTTGTGACGTAGCATGTTCTGCAAATTTTCTTTAATTATATTAATTAATGACATGGATGGTTTTTTCTTTGAAATTAATAAGGTGGCAATTTAATTATGCGATAGGACCATTGATCTTGAGCTATTAAAATTAAAATCAAATAATAAATCAAAATAATTATCCCCGGGAGGGAAGCAACCTAGAAAAGTTGTACGTGGTAGAATTTTTTTAATTAATAAACAAAAAGGATATGATGGGCGTTAGATTAGTGCATGGAATATGAGGTGACAGTGTAATTCTAAATTGGTATAATTTTTGGTTCATTTGCGAATAAAATACCATTTGTTACAGAAAAATAAGAGAATCGAGTTCAATGTTCAAAGTTGTCAAAAGTCAAAGATAGGCGTCGGAGTCCCGCATCCATGGACTACCAATGTTTTAAAACCCGACGGATCGCTGGTCAATAGGTATAATCCGGTTTTTCAGAAACTTTCTACTTTTTATATATACATGCATGCTTACAATGCCTTACATATATACAAAATCTGGAAAAAAATATCAAGGATGGGAATTTATAGTTCAAACGTTAAAAAAATAAAAGGATACTCACTACTACAAAGAGAAGACCCAATTATTTCAATTAAATAATCCGGTTTTCAACCGGGTCTTATGACCAATGAGTTCTATGTGAATAAATAAATAAAACTCACTTTCAAAACCGGGTCCTTTTATGCTTAAAAGAACATGTTTTTATTAAAAAAACTGGGACATATAAGAAGATTAGAGTCCCGTTTCCATGTAAAATAATTGGGTCCTATAACACTTATAACATCATTTTCATATGCAAATTAGAGCTTGGTTCCTATATAAACAATCGGGTCCTTTGGTACACTAATTAATTTAAAAATCTATATTCTTAAAATAAAAAGACCAATACCAACAAATTTTGTGGGTTACAAATCTTATATTGCTACTTTTTATGAATTCTTACAAAACATCTAAGGACATCTAAGGAGTTCTTAAAACATGATAATTATATAGAGTGACCGTTTACCCCATGTGAAGAGTATAGTAAACTTACTTAGATACCCTTGTTTTACTTTATGTTAACTTCAACATCACGATATCACTTTCAAAACAAACCTCTCATCATGTCGCTATATGCAACATCAATAATTACATACGCATGGGTAGCTATTTAGAATCTTTTCTTTACATAAAACATGGGTTGTTGAATGGCATAGTTGTGGTGTACTCCGGAGTTGAAAACCTACATTAGATCCAATGTGATAATAATTTTGATGAAGGAGAGCCTACATAGAAGGTGGTATTGGTTGTGATGAAAGTGGAGGTTAAAGTGTCAGGAGGCAGTGGTGGTGGCTGATTAGAATAATAAGATTGATGAGTCACCATTGGTGTAGCCTGAGTTTTGATCTGACCTCTTCCATGTTGTGGTGGTTGTAATGAAGGCAATGAGGGGTTTGAAGGCAAAACAGATGATGGAGGTGGTGATGAGATGGTGGTATGGTTTTGTTATGTTGTTTGGTCCGACAGGCGGTGCTGCTAGTTGAGATAGTGAGTTCCAGCATGTTGAATGTTGGGTATCTAATAAAATTGATCAAATTAGCCCTTAAAACATACACATAACATAATAAAAGTGTGTAAACAATAAAAACATTGAGTATACCTCTTAAGGTGGTTACAACATTACTAGTATTATTTGTATCTGAAGGTGCATAGCAAGAAGAGAGACAAAAACATCACAATTACATAGAAGCCTAAACATTGATTTATTGAAGGACAAGTAGAAACTCTTAATATAGATCATTAGAACAAAAACACAAGAGATATAAGTAAACCCTAGAAGACACAGAACCTGAAAGAGAGCTTTAATGAGTGAATGATTTTGAATCAGGATTTGTCTCAGCTGGTCCCGGTTCCATTCTATCAATGTCTACATAAGAAAACAAAAATACAATGATTACATCACTTTGAGTCCCAAAAATAAATTTTCAAGTTTGGTTTTTCATCTTTTCCCCTAAATCAAGGAAATAAACTACGATATCATCAAAAAATCTCCCCAATTTAACTAAAAAAGTTCAAATAAGAGTCCTAATTAGTGTATTTACTTAAAACCAACAACATTTATCGAACTTCTTGTAAAAATCGGGAAACAAATGAGCACTCATCAATTTGAAAAGAAATAAAAATAATTCAGAAAAGGTCTTCTGTTTTTACCTTCATATATTCTTTGACATTCCATCGATATCCACCGATATACCATCACTAGAGACCTGATTTCCAGCCATTATCCTTGAAGTTTGTTGTTTTTTTTTTCTAGTTGATTCTGATTAGGTTCCAACTGAGGGATCTTTTGTAAGAATTATGAGAAGATGGAGCGATTCGATACTCGAGTGTACAAACAGGGAAATCAGTTTACAACAAACGAGTTTTGGGAGGTAGAGCAGACGGTGAACTTGTTTAGACGAAGATATAACAAAGTTTGGTTGCTTGTCGTCATCATTTAGTTTCTATGGGTCTAGTCTCGGATTGGTGATTTCTAAGCTTCATCAGTAATGGTCATAGAGCATAGCTTTGAAATTCTATACTAGGTCAAATGGAGGGATATCAAAAACTTAAAGTTAGGCACTAAAAATTGATGGTAGGATATTGAAAATAGATAAGCGGGATACCAAAACTCATTTTTCAAAGATATCAAAAATTCAAAATAGGACACCAAAAATTGATGGCGGGATATCGAAATATGAAAATAGGGATACCAAAACTTATTTGTCAAAAAAATGTGGTTGAAAACAAGCTCTATAACCATCTTCAAGACCCAGTTACTATTGGAAAATGGGTTATATAACTTTCCAATTAAAAGACCCGGTTATATCAATGGATCCGGGTTATTAAAATTTGGACATATACCTTAGTTTCTTATTTCTAACCAGACCTTATAACCTTTTCCTTCATAAAACCCGATTTTTCTATAAAGGCACCCATGTTTTTCAAAAACCGGGTCCTACATACCGTGTCCTATGTTCCTTTTTGTAGTAGTGATTAATGTTCACAAGCTTAAAATCAATCTAAATACATCAAAAAAGAAATATAAATTAAAACACCAAAAATATAATATAGTTCAAACAACAATTGTCCATAAGTTCATGATGAATCCAAAAACATCACCAATAAATCAAATCATAGATATTGTATATATGTTAAACCAAGTTTTTGTCAAATTGGGTCAATGATTCAACACATTTTATGATAAAATTAGTCGGTTCAATCCGAATCATAAATAGGTAATAACATGTTCTTGGTTGATTTGTTCTCCTCAGTGGTTTACGATCCAATCAGTGGGACCGGCTGAGTTAACGAGGATTTAACACATTGTGGATTGTACCTATGAAATTAAACATTACGAGGAAAAAAAAGAATTCCACATTGAAACCTCCAATGTGCAACATCGAATTCAAATTGTAAAGACAAAAAGAAAATAGGGAAAATGAATTAAGATGATAACCAACTGTTATGTTGTTCACATTTAGTCCCTTTCCTTTTTTGTACCAAATATAACATTTAACTTGTTGTTTATGTTCACCAAAACCCTTTTGACCATCTATCACCGGTTATTGAAGGTTTCCGATGTCTTTATCCTCTCCAACGACTCTACGGTCACCTTCTTCGATGAAACTCCGATGAAACATGAATATTTCGGTCATCAATGGCAGATTTCAAGTTCATTTATGGCAGATTTGTGGAACACACATCTTAAACTAACGAGTTTGAAGGCTCCAAATGCGTGGGTTTGAAGAGTTCTAGATTTGTGGTTTAAACTCAAATTGTTCTAGATTTGTGGGTTTAAACTCGAATGAAGATGAAGTGTTCCAGAAATCGTTCATCAGATTTGAAGAACTTTCTAGAAATCGTTTGCAAGATGGAAAGATCGAGCTTAATGAAGTTGTTTCCAGATTTGAAGAACACACACGAAGACACATTCCATATACAAAATTGAGCTTTATAATTCGAAAACCGCAAATCAAAGTTTCATTGTTCTTGTGAGTTCTTAAAAATTGAAACCCTAGTTCACTTACAAAAATCGAAATCACAAATTGCAAATCGAAGCTGCACATGTTCTAGATTTCACAGAGTTTGTCAGAATATCAAAAAATCGAAGCTTCACTGTTCTTGGATGATGTTTTGTTGTTGATACACAATAGGGGATGATGGTGACGTATGGGAAAATGGCAGTGGGTTCTTTTCAAACAATATTTTGATGGAACAAATAGAAGTTTAAGGATATGCTCCTTAACACACATCTGAATTAACAAGAACTCGCCAGAATATTCATGTGTCACCGAAGAAGGTGACCAGAAAGTCGTCGGAGAGGACAAAGACATCTGAAACCTTCAATAACTGGTGATGAGGGTTATAGTGAACACGAACAACAAGTTAGATGATATATTGGGTACAAAAAAAGGAAATGGGCCAAATGTGAACAAAATCAATAGTTGGTTACCATCATTAGTTATTTTACGGATAAAATATTAGAGGCACCATACCTCGACGTCCATCTATAATAATCATGCATGATTTTTCCCTTGACATTGTTAGAAATAGGCATTGCACATGTCCTTCAAACCACAGTGTCTATCAACACTGCCCTCAATGTTCAGTAATGCATTTCTTCAATTTCCATATTTTATAAAGCCTATGAGTATGGAATGATGGCACCCCTATAAGCATTAACTTCGAGTTGCTTTTTGGAGGTTTTTTATGTCAAAACATCTTTCAATCATCTTTAACCACCTTTTAAAGATTCTAACAACACTTTGAATACCAATAATCCATTACAAGTTTCACATACGATCATGCGTGCTTTTATAAAAACCACGTCCGACTAATTTCCTCCAACACACAGTTAAGAGTGGGTTTTGATTTGTTTTCTTGTATTGTAATTGGGTTTGGACGTTTTAGGTTTTGAAAACATCATGTATGTATGTATCTTACATTTTTAATCACATGGCTATATTTCTATACTATGTTTTATGATTTATGTTATTGTAATAGTTGTGAGACCCATATAATACATGTTATTGTAAACATTTAGGAAGTTTGAATTTATAAGGAGGATGAGAAAAATACTGAATTATTGAAATTAAAATGTTCATTTCTCTTTTAAATTTTAATAAATAAACAAAAATAATAATAATAATAATTGGGTTTCAATTTTGAAAATTTGGAGTTAAAAGGAAAGTTGCATTAATGAAAATGATATCAGTTTATTATTACATTAGTTAAAATTATTATATTTAAATATTATATGATATTTAATAAAATAGAAAAAAAAACGTAAAATGACATGTGATTTTTTTTAATTTAAACTAACTACAATTAACATGTAGCAAAAAGAATAAAAAAAACATGTGAAAAAAATATTTATTAAAGTACATTATTAAGTGTAGGTCGACTCTAGTATGCTCTTCTATGTTATGCTAAATAATCTAGATGTGGTGTGCATCGGGCGGTTGTGGATACACCTAGTTTGTTACCAAATTTAGATTCCAGACAGTATGGTTATATCTATGTAGCACATACAAATGCAAAACTAGTAAGTACTTAATATACTACACTTTTAAAATAAAAAATGAAACCAAAAATGATCACCTTTGTATAAATTGATGTAACACCGATTTCGAGTAGTTTCTTAATTCAGGGATGTAGACCGAAATTCAATCATGAAAAGGTTTTGGGCTTTTAGAAGGAAAAATTAGACCTTGTTTAAGGATTGATAATGTTGGTTATGAGATCTAATCCCTTGATTTGTGTGCTGGAACCGAATGGTACAAAGGGAAAAATTATAGATTGGGCTGCTTGTGTGGGTTATGGTTTTAGTTCGGTATGTGATATGCAAAAGTAACTAGATAGGATTGTGGGGCTCTTCAATATCTTTCTATACATATCAAGAACAATGCAAATGGAGTTGAAACGAAGAAGTTATGATTGTTTGAAGTTGAGCTGAAAAATAGAGTTGTGCCCTATGTAGGGCGTACACTAGGTACGCATGGCGTAGTAGCTGAAGGTGAACGCACTTTTAGTGAGCTACACATTGTGTAGCTTATTTCACGTAGGGTGTAACTACACGGAGTGAAACACTAATTTTGATGGTTTTGAGCCCTATTAAAGGACTTCTAACCCACTTAGGTCCTTCTTATCATCAACCTCCACGCTCTAGAGCCTCTAACTTATAACCCTTGCCATCTTGTGAGGATTTTGAAGCATTTGAGGGTTTCCTTGTGTATTTTGTCAAGAAGGGGGTCATTGAAGGTGTGCTTGAGAAGTCCACAACTTGTAGATCCAGACTCTACTCTTCTTCAACATCCTCAATGTGGTATAAAGCTTGAACCTTGATGATTCATTATATAGATCTAGCTTGTTATGGCTTTTATGGGCTTCTTGTCCCTTAATATTGGATCTCGTGAGTATGAGATACTCCAGACCTAATGAGTTGCATTTTCTAGCATTTTTGACCTTGTAGAGTGATAAATATGGGACCTTGGTCACTCCCATCCTTCCATGCATGAGT